GACCCACAGCATAGAATCAAGCCTCGAAAATGTATTTTTTGGCCACAATTATAAACACAACATTTGGAGGGGAGTCAACATAAAAGGATATTATTCCTACTGAGAAAAACGGGAGTGGACAGGGAACCTGGTCTAATCTGTCACTGTTTGCAAGTGTAGAACTTGCACTGTTCGTTGTTGACTTTAGTGAACTATTGTTGGGACCCCAGCCATGGGTTACAACATTAAAGGCCAGTAAGAACTTTTCTGGAATGTTCAAAATAAATTGCATTAACCTACTTCCAGCACAGCCAGGAACAGGAGTAACGGCGGACTTCCCGTGACATTACTGTTTGAATAAAAACCCTGCTTTTGCAACAAACTGACTCTTCCATGCAGGTCCCCAGCGGAGCTGGACGGAGGGACACAGTGCGCTGATGTCTCTTTGCTGGCAAACAGACATAAATTCTTCAAACTGGATCCAAGAGTGTCATGCGATCACGCGATCATATGCACAAAGTAGGAATGAATTGCTGGTCGTGTATCCGGCATTCATTCATTCATGAACGGGGTTAATTAAGGTGCAAGCGTGGCTTGACTTTTCTCTCTGAGGTCTACAGAAGCAAACCGGGTTCCAGAGAGTTCCCAGCAGAGACCCTGTCTCCACAACGCTGAGTGGAGCAGTTTTTTTCCGGTCTGAAGGAAGGACAACGGAACCGCATCACCGTGGCAACAGCAGTAATGTGCAGTTCAGCCGGCCGGCAGAACGAGCCGCCCCACCCCTTTCCCACAGCTAGCAAGGTTAGCTGCAAGTTAACCCTTTCTTCACTGTGTATGCTTTCCTCAACTTCGTCGCCCCAGACAACTTTTCCTCAGCACGGTTCACGTAAGAGGTTGTGTTTTGGGCAGAGAGAAGTAGTTTAGGATGACGTTTGGATTTGTTTGTGTTGAAAACTCAGCTATCTTAGTGCCAGCAGATTAGCTGTTAAGCACATGTGCTCAGTTTACGTGTTCTGCGTTTGTGTTTTTAAAGTTAAGACAAACTTTATTTAAAGGGTGAATATAAACACAGCTGATCGGCCAAACGCACCTTCCACGCTTAAGCATTTTAACCATTTTATTAGTGGTATATTTAAAAGTAAGTGTTCAATGTTAACTCCAATCTCTAACGGCTAAGAACACGTGCTTGCCTACTACTATTCAGCTGAAGATCATTTACCCAGAAAGGTTGTTAGCTTCCAATCTAGGAAATATTATTTCCCTAAATATTATTATACTAAACTTGATAACTAATTAAACACCATTAAGACCTATTTATCCAGCAAGGTTTGGTTCTTATTCAAAATAATATTTCCTTAAATGTTATTTTACTATTTCCTTCATATTTCTTTAAATATAATTTTAATAAATAAGGGCAACTACAGTAATTAAACACCGTTGAGAATTGGTCGTCCAGAAGGTTGGTTTTATTCACCAAATCATTCTTTAAAATATTGTTTTATTAAAATAATATTTTATCTGCTCTTGCATTGTGAATGATTGTTTGAAGGCATACCAACTATTGCCTAAGTTAGTTCCAAGACTAACTTAACTTCATTTCCAGATTCTTCAAGATAATCCTTGGTTCCCAAACATGGTAATATTGCATCAATCTTTTAGTCATGGTTTTCAACCATCTTTAATCAACTTGTTTATATTGTACATAGCCCATTAGTCTTCCTTATTCTTTCAGTCTGCTTCAGTCTTTCTTGCCAAACCAAGATTTCAACAGACCACAAAGTCAAGAGCTATTATGATGACAGAATGGATGCATTTCTTTAATATTGGGTCTCCAAGAAACATAGGAGAACCCACAGGATGTAACAGGCTGACCACACAGTGCGCATGCAGCAGACTAATTGGTTTCTGCCTTTCCAGAAACTCTTATTGCAACTCATTTTGGCATTAAATCGCTAAAGTTTATCTTTAAACTCACTTAATTTACAACAATCACTTAGGAAACAATGTTTTTAACACTATTTCCATCATAAAACCACATTTAATTTAAGTTTCTTGGTTAAAACGCAGTCTTGCGAGGTTCCCAGTTCACAAAAATATTACCGTCACCCAAATTATTTGTTGCTTCTAATGCTTCTAATTCGTGCTGTCGGGTTTGCCTGCAAGTTACATTTGGCAAGATCTAAATTATAATGTTATATAACAATACTTTTCCTTTTTGACACTTGTGTCTATGAGGACCAGAATGAAAGCTTGGTGTTGGAATATGGGACAAACTAAAAGAGCTTGAAGTTCAGTTAATTAAAACACAACAAAAAAACACTCAGAATGGGACATCAAAAAGCTTGACAAAACTAGAACGAACATTGGCAAGGTAATAGCACAGGGACAAAATAAAGAAAGAAAACCAGGGAGTATTTCTGCTGGTGGGTCATCACTTAACAAGAAATAAGTGATTATTAGTGGCTATCACTAGGTATGAGGGGAAAACAAGATAAACTAAGTGTGCAGACTAGAAGAACTAAACAAGCGTATAGCACATTTCACAAAAGCAACAAACCAGAATACCAAGATCATCTTAAAAAGAATTAAGACGTTTGCAAGAAGCAATAATAATAGCAAGAAGATAACCAAAAAAACAAAAACATGCTGTAAAAATCTATAGATCCCAGACTTCGCCTCTGTTTCCAGAAGACTTTGTGAAGACTAGACTACCCTAGACCAAGACCATTGATACCTTGGAGTTACTCCAAGTTACTCCTCACCCTCCAAAAAAACGCTTAAAAGGGATCCTGACAGATTAAACTAAGTAACTAATAGTTGGACAGTTTGGTTTGAGACCTTTATAGAATTTAAACAGGATCAGAGTACAATATAAATGTTAGGCTCTGTGCAACGGAGGAACCCCAGAATGCAGACGAGCAGGCAGCGTGATGGTAAGTGCGAAAACGATTTAATAAAAAACAAAAACTCACTCTCAGAAGAGGCAGGAACAAAACAATAAACGGGCAGGCAAGACAGGCATGGCATGAACTACAAGACAAGAGCATGATTTGGAAAAACTAGACATGGTTTGAAAATGTTTCCGCCACAAATAACTGAACAGGTGTGTATATATAGAGTGTGAAACAGGTGGAGCTAGGAGACAGATTAGTTTGGAGCAGGTGAACCGGATAAAGATAATTAACAGACAGAACAGAACGTGGCTGGAGCAAGAATAGAGACTCTTAAATGCAAACTAAAACATGACCAGAACCAAAAACCAAACTTGACAAAACATGAACAAGACTAAAACATAACCAGAAAAATAATAAACAGAAGCATGATTCAAAAACTGAGAAATATAAGAAAAACCCAGAAACCAAAAACCAAACAACCCCAAATCATAAAAATAAAACTTTAACAAAGCTTACAAGATACCAAAACCTTATGAGCACTGGGCAGTGAAGAAGAGCTGCTCATTCTTTACATTATGGTTTGGATTCCTTAATGGCACAAACAGAAGCTGATTTCTCAACTCCTTTGATGGTCAGCTCATTTCATGGATCATAAACGTTTCAACATATCAGTAAAATACTTTTTTTAAATGATGGTGATGTTCTTTGCTTTACTTATTCTATTTATCAGTTTTGAGCAGTACCAAGGCCAGTACTGGCAACATTACATCTAATTCTGTTAGTTTTACTGCCACTAATATCATAAATACACTAATATCACAAAAACAGTAATACAGCTTGTTGCTAAATATGCAGAAGGCTTTATTACTTATGTAATTACTGTTTTGTCCTCTTGCCAATGATTACAACCATAGGAAAAAATATTATATTCATTTCTGCAATGCATCATATAGCCCATTTTATCTCTTATTTCAGGAGATGACATTGTTCAACATGCTTCTATACCAGTGAGACCTGTTTTTACCCCACACATTTGTAGACTAATAAGCAACAGTTTTTTTTATTTCCTTGAATTTTGTCTATCCCTGTAAAAAAAAAAAAAAACATTTACAAAATAGTTTTTAGAAACTAATGCACCTCTATTCTCAATCTAAAACCTGGGTGCAAAAAATGCTCTTGTGGCCTGATGCTGTTTGGTGGTTGCTTTTGTGTGGCACTTTGATTCAGCCTTGAATGGTAGTTAACAGGGCAAAACATGAGCAGTTTTGTAGTGCACTTTAAATAACGACTTGTTTGACACATTTTAAAATACCCACTGACAAGGACTAGTGGAGATAAACACTTTAAATGTTTGTATCACACAGGGTATTTTTCCCCCACCAAATTGGTTGCAGTGCTGAACTGGCACTAGTGTTGGTTGTTTGGATTTCAGCTGCCTAAGACCAACCTCTGTACCAGTGCAAAAACCCAGTTCTGTCTTAGCTCTAAATGTTTGTTGAAATAATCTCTTCCATCTGGGTGTAAGGGCAGGTGCGCAAAGTGTAAAAACCAATTAAAGTGTAATGAATTTTACGAAAGTTAATTTTAAGTTTGCTGTTTCTAAAGAAAAAAAAAACATAAAACTGAATTTAACATAAATTAAAAGTCAAAAATTAACATTGCAATAATACAAGTTCACCACATCAAGGGCTACACACATCAATCGTGTATGATGGCATTTAAAGACTACCTATACTTTAGTGATAAATGACCCAGAAGTGTAGCATCTGTTTGGCAGCTGAGGAAACCAAGGCAAAGGGCCCAGTGATCCTTCATTTGAACCTGTTCTGTGCAGAAACGTCAATGGTCCGTTAAAACTATCTACAACTGAAGGGCTGTTATCTGTTTTGTCTCAGCGAGATTCAGTATGATGCATCCATTGTGAGTTAAAGGCATCACCTGATGCAACGCTACGTGGTTCTCCCAATGTGTGCTCCCATTTACCTTCGAGCTGTTTGTTTCATTATCACCTGGGTTATATAGAAATGTAGAGCCATGCATTACATGCAGCCTTGCTCACAATAACTAGTTAAAAACTCAGTTTGTGACTCCATTCATAAAAACTGATGAGCCTTGGAGTTCATAAAGGGCTGCATGGTGGTGCAGTTGGTAGCTCAATTGCTTGTCAAAAAAAAGGTCCCTGGTTCGAATCCTGGCGTGGAGTCTTTCTGAGCATATATGGGTTCTCTTCCAGTACTGGTACTTCCTGCCACTGTCCAAAAACATGACTCTAAATTGCCTTGTGGTATGAGTGGGTACATGTGTGCAGGTCCTGTGATGGACTGGTGACCTGTCCAGGAAGTACCCCGCCTTTAATTCAAGGAGCTGTGGGGATAAGCACCACTGGTTTTCTGCTGTTTTTATAAAACCAGTTAAGACCTAGAAATAATTTGATGAAAAAGACAAACATGTCACTGACCATCAACTGTTTGTGTGCCATATCTGTTCTGACAAAAAAAAAACCCTACCCATCCAGCTTCAAATTAATACATAATAAATAAATCATAAACTATGCAGAGTCTAATGACAGTAAACAAATGGGAAGAAAGAGGAGGTCAAACTGCTTGAGGGCTGGTGCAAAGACAACAACCTGGTACTCAACGTGGACAAAACTATAAGGATGATCATCAACTTTTAAAGGTCATGTCCTGAGCATACAACCCTCAGCAACACCAACTTTCCAGCAGAAAGAGTGGAAAGAACTAAACTCTTCAGAGTGCAGATCTCTGATGACCTCAGTTGGTTTATGGACACCTCTGGCATCATGAAGTGCATCCAGCAGAGACTACAGTTTCTGGGGAAACAAACATCTCTTCCTACTAGTATCCTAACAGAGCTCTGGTGGAAAGTGTGCTGAGATACCCCATTTCAGAGTGGTACACCTGCTCCCAGAAGACGTACTGTAAAAGAGGGCCCTGACGAGGATTGTAAGGAAATCTGAAAAGGTCATTAGAGAGTCCCTATCTTATAAAATAAAAGAAAATAAAGAAAAATGTTGCAACATTTAAAAATTAAAAGACCAAACACTTTAAAGTCTGAAATGAATAAAACATGTAGTGATATGGGAACAATGACAAATAGAAGTTTGTTCTCTGCTCTCTCTGCTTAGGATAAAAATCCGGTTCTTCAGCAAATGCTGGCGATGACCTCTGGATAAGAGTATCACCTTGTCTGCCTCAAGAGCTTCCTCTTGTCAAAGATCTCTGAAAGTTCCCCCTTCTCCTGTTTCACCGACTGTCTTATCTTGTTTGTTACTGCCTAGTTTCAGAGCACACACAGAGTAGGATACAAGCTCACACAAATACACAGATACACACACACACATGCACTTTTTTCTTTCTTGCCCTTGCCTGAGGGTCTAAGTTTGATTCATGCCCTTTGTCAAAGTTTGAGAGGGTCTCAAATAAATAATGGTGTGACTTCCCTGGGATTGTGGGACCTTCTTTAATTGGTGTCCTTTCTTGCATGTACATCACATTCACCCTTGTTCACCAGAAATCACACATCAAAGGATCTAAAAACTCCTCTACTGCTGTGTCAACCTGAGCTTCACACTGCTTATGTTCAGATAAGCCTCTCACATAAAAAATGAAGAAAAGAAAGATAGAGAACAACAAATTGGACCCAGCCAACTTTGTGTTTGTAGGCTACTGTACTCAGCATTCAATCTGTCAACCCTTTGAGGTTGTTGAAAAACTTTTGTATTCAACACACCCACTGTAATGGCTGCAGGGAAATGGTTTGATGCAAAAAAAAAAACGGGAAAGTTTTAAAGTAGTTCCATTTAAAAGTAGTTTATGGCTTTTTTGTGAAACAAGACAGTCACCCTGCTCATTATATATGTTATTGTGACTTGACACATGCCCCTTACTCTCACAGGCTCACAAAGTATTTTCTTCTCCACTTAAAGCGAATATTGTTGTATAGCAGCATGTTTAGATAGTATCATTACCAAACCTCCTGAAAAACAGGATAGTTAGCATACTTAGTCATCAGGTAAAGTTACTTTTGATCAATCTTTTGATGAATAAAATTTAAAGTTCTTATTTGTAACACTGGTATTTTACTTCTATCACTTTGTAGACATTGATGGTTCTACAGTGTGAATGTAAACTTTTCAGATTTCATCATGTTACAGCCACAAACCTCAATATATTTTATTCAGATAGTACGGTCATATTCAATAAATTTGAATATTATTGAAATGTTTCATTTATTATTTAAGCGGCAAGTCTTTTGGGGAATGTGTACCATCTTTGCAGATCTGGAGACTGTAGGTTTTGCTTATTCTTCTGTGGAAATAGTTCATTTGCTCAGTCAGATTGGATGGAGAGCACCCGTGAGCATCAAATGTCACGTTACACCACAGATTCGTAATTGGATACAGGCCTGGACTTTAACTGGACCATTCTAACAAATTAATATGCTTTGGTATACACAATTCCCATTGTAGGTCTGGCTGTATGTTCAAGGTTATTGTACCCTCAGCTCTAATCAACTTACCTGTCCCTGCTGAAGAGAAACATGGCCACAGCATGATGCTGACACCACCATGTTTCTCTGTGGGAAAGGTTTGTTCAAGGGGATGACTACTAGTGATACTAGTTGTCTGGCTCATATAGCGTTTTGAATGTGAGCCATAAAGTTCAATTTGGATCCCATCTGACCAGAGCACCTTTTTCCACGTATTTGATGTTTCCCACCTGAGCTATGGATCTCTGCAGCTCCTCTGGAGTAACCATAGGCTTCTTACCTATCTGATCAATGACATCCTCACAAGGCCTGTCTTAGTAGGTTGGTAGCTGTGCAATAGACTTTCAGATTTCAAATGGGGATTGAACAGTGCTCTGTGAGATGTTCAAAGGTTGAGACGTGGTTTTATAATCCAACCCCGCTTTGAACTTCTTTTCTGTTAAAACTGTACATTACTGATGACTTGTGAAGTCATTGGACTTTATTTAGGTGTATCAGATCAAAGGAAGCTGGGCACTTAAAAACATATTTCCCCTCCACTTTCTTTTCCAGTGTGCTGTAATGAACTACTTTTTGTTCATCTATCACATAAAACCTCAATAAAATACATTATTTTTGTTGTAACATGCTTAATGAAAAAACATGAAAGGGTATGAATACTTTTGTAAAGCACTGTTTGTCATGTAACACCATGTGACTGCCCTAAATGGTGAACTTACCAATCAAACTGCAAACCCAACTAACTGATTGGGTAGACAATTACATACCTCAAAAGCTCTTAAATAACGGGGAACACATGTCTTCTACCTGATGGTTTAATTTATGCGATGTTCTACCTGTCACTGGCTCAAACAGATGGCCGTGTTTTTATCTACTCAGGTGTGAAATTGCTGTTGTATTTGGCAGATCATTATGGGTTAATGCACTCCCCAAGGTCCCACTTCTGATCTCCATGCACCTCAGTGGCTACCACGAGTGGTCCGTATCACAGACCGAGCACTAATTTCCCCACGTTAGTGATAATGCAAGATTTGTGATGGTGCTTGTGTGCAGGAATGTGTTCAAATGTGGAAACATGACACCAAACCACCCTGATGGATCTGTCCAAATGTTCGTAACTCCTCAGTGGTCATAATGGCTCACTTAGTGATTCTGGCAAATACAGAGAACCGTGATTTTTTTTTCCTCCTCTACAGTGAGAGTGATAGAAGTGGCAATTAAACAGCAGATTTGTTTTAGGGACCAAATAGCTGCTACACCTGCCCACCTTGCAGAGCTCACATCTCATTCTGCAGACCAGGTTGCAGTCATCTGGTCGCCCAGTCTCATCTGTGCATTGATCGCTCTGTTTTAGATCCTCTTTCATCTATAAATACTGTAGTCATCGGCGGAGTCCAGTCCCTCTGAAACACCTCTTGTACCAGTGTTGTGGAGGCAGTCAGCCTTGCAGGGTTGGCCATGTCTCTATATAAAAATCGTTTTATGGACACTACTCTGTCTTTCTCCCCTCTCTCCTGTGTTCAGCTATGTCTCAGTGGAAGATGATTGTGCATTTGGTTTCAACCCACTCATTTCTTTGTTAATCAGACAGTGAGTGAGCATGTTGCTGTCATGTCCTGCCTAACTCTTTGATACTTTACTGTAACATACATAATAGCATCTTTGACTAACTGACCTAACTTGATGTTTATTTGCTCTCATTTAATTAATAAATTACAGTACTGTCCAGACTTGGCCACTTGAGCTTAACAGTAGTAATTAGCAACATTTACTTACCCAAGCCTGATGAACACATTGCTACATGGTATCTATAGCTCTTTCATTCATAAAGTATAACAACCTCACTTTTTCAATTATTCACAGCACAATCAATAATACCCGTTGCCACCCAACATGAAATCAGTTCTTTTTTAACAATTATATTAACTTTTTTAAGCTGATGATATTTTGTATCTGTAAGGACTGGCAATTTTATTTTGAAGAATTTTCTTGTGGCCCAGTAGGTGAAAAGTAGGTGAAAGTGCAAAGGGTGACACCCTAGACTTATATGCAAATGCACTATTTACACCCTCACACATTAAAGAAAACTGTTTTAACTGCAGCTGTCCACAGTAGTGATCACTATGCATAAAAGCCCTATAGGAGGACATATAGAGTACAAACAGTGATAGCGGGCAGGTATGATTTGTAGCTTCTGAAAAAACTGTTTCACATACTGTGGAAATGAATAGGACATTAGCTTCAGTGTGTGCTGTTCTATCTTACCTGTTAGCTCAAATATACTTCAAAAAATAATTTTTAAGTTTATTACTGTATATGACAGTACACAGTAATCTAATCTACATATGTCATGGACTGATACCCTGACGAACTAGTTGCCGCATTTATCCACACATGCAGGCTCTGAAAGTCTCTGCAGGCTCTGAAAGTTGCACAGTTCTGTCTTCTCCACCAAGTCTCAGAAGAGACTCACCTGAGCTAGGACACTCAGCCAGAAACACAACAACAGATAAAGTCCGAGTTGGAAACCCAGATCTCTCCACTTTGTGTTTTTTAACTGTATAAAAATGCCAGAAAGGCTCTTGAATCCAATGAATTTGATTGTCAAATTGCAAGCATGCTGCAAAAAACTGCAAGTGGAAATGTTGTCACTCATGACGTGTTCCCACTCAAGGAGTTGTCAAGTTTCCTCT